TAGCATGATAACCCTAAGCACATTTAACCCACCTCGAGGAACAACCGGTCGTTTGGACGATCGCCGCTAACCTGACCCATAGGAGCTTGGGGGTAGCTTCAGATGATATGCCCTACCCCTCTCGCCGTGGTACCGGGGCAGACAAAACCCACAGAGGTCAGTACAAGGCGCGAGTTCCTTAGCTACAGTCAGGCAGCTCCTCTTTCCTATTCCTTTTTGGGAACTTGGCGCTGATGAAAAATGCTTCAAGTGTCTTCCGCGCCGAAGTGAGGGATTCTTGCAATAGAATTCCAACTGTAATTCCGAACACCGCACCCTCATGGGACTCCACTCGGTGAGCACCCAAGGGGGTGCTCACCAAGTAGAGTCGCATGAAGGTGCGGTGTCCCCCTTGGGTGCTCTCCGAGTAGAGTTCCATGGATATGCGGTGTCCCTCTTGGGTGCTCACCGAGTAGAGTTACATGGAGGTGCGGATTCGGAATTAAAGATAGGATTCTATTGCGAGAACCCCTCACTTCGGCGCGGAAATCACTCGAAGCATTTTTCATCAGAGCCAAGTCCCCAAAAAATGAATAGGAAGGAGGAGTGCCTGGCCGCAGCTAATACACTCGCGCTTTTTTCTGACCTCTGTAGGTTTTGTTTGCCCTCGGTATCACGGCGAGAGGGATAGGGCATATAATCTAAAGCTACCCCCAAGTCCCTATAGGTCAATTTAGCGGCGGTCATTCAAACGACCGGTTGTTCCTTGAGGTGGGCTAAATGTGTTTAGGGTTATCATGCGCATTTGGAGACATTAGCGCTAGGGAACCGGTTTTTTGAAGTCTAAATGTTGAGTGAGGGATGGATAGCAATAATATATAGGTTTCCAGACTCTGAAGAAAGCGATAACGCCAACGTAAGTTGATAAGAACCTATATATCATCTTGGTAGCAGGTTTTATAAAAGTCTTGTAAAAAAATAAATATATATATATATATTTATACTTATGTCAGAACACATGCTCCCGTTGGAGGGAAATGAGTTGTGGAAGGAATGTGTTCGATGGCTTGTTGATATGGGGGTTCTCGACCATCGATTAGCACCTGGTAATTCTATGCTAGAATTCGCTACAATGCTAAGGTAAGGACCTTCAGCTAAAGTCATTTATCTAAACGAGCAGGCTCACTTAAGCATCCTTACCTTGATCAGCAATGTTCTGTGAGTATTAGAGCAGGTAATGCGACACTGGCTTACGCTAGGGCCGTCGATCGTCAATTTTTTCAGCAGTACTTGGCGAACGTTTGAACTTAAAGCTTCTGACCTTACGCCTTCGAAAGTGTTCCTTTAAATTTTTTGTTGATATCTCTTACTTTTAATCCTTAATAATTCGGAAGAAAAGGCCAGGTTTGAATGCCATTCGAACCACTTGCCGCTTCTGTGATCTATTTTGAATGTCTGTAGAGATGGTGTCTTGTTGTGTCGCCTGTTAAACGAGTTATCTCCCAGTTGTATTGAGGAGAAAGAAATTCAACGGCGCCCTCATATGTCAGAGGTGAGTGATTTCTTTTTTACATGGGTTTACTCCGTTTAATTTTTTTTTTTGAATAGAGAAAAGGTCGTCACCCGATTTAGAAGACGATTGAGGGTGATTACTTTCAGTTCACGTGTCATAAAAACATATGCCTATTCCTCGGTGCCTGCAAAACCTTTTTTAATTTGAAACAAGAACAAATGTTTGAAGCATGGGAGCTGTTTCGATTACAAGACTTCGTAAAGGTCCTATCCGTCCTCTCTATATTGTCCCACTCAGAATCTGCGTTGGCAAAGAGCATCAGGTTCGTTAGAAGTTCTTTTGCATAATTAACCTTTTTATTGTTCCATGAATTTAATTTTTCCATTAAAAACCTGAATGGAACCCATTCTCCTAAGCTCGAACTCTCTCAAAGAAGGGGACGGAACATCAACCCAACTCTGGATGGGCGCGGCAAACTGATTTTCGGGGTGTTCTAAACGACCCTGGTGCCTATCGTTGGGGCAAAAATTTGAAGTACGATAGATAAGTAGCATCAGTTGGCCCTACGTGGAATTACGTGCGTCCGAGGTTGCGCGCGGCAAATTGCGCGGCGAGTTTGTAACGATTTGAACGACTTTAGCGTCTATCATTGGGACTAAGATTTGAAGTCGAGTGGATTAGAAGGTTCATCTGACCCTACTAAACTAATCCGAGTTTATGCCCCGAAAATTGGCGTCAGAGTCGTACAAATCGTCACAAGCTTCGCCGCGCGCATCCTCGGATGCACGTCTACCGTATGTACCGTACCGCGTAGCATGCGGGTGCGTGTCAAGTCGTGCGTCCGAGGGGGCGCGCGGCAAATGGCGCGGCGAAATTCGTGGAGAATTTGGTCGACTCCGGCGCCTATAATTGGGGCCCAAATCTGAAGTAAGGTAGATTTATAAGGTCAGCTGACCCTGCTATTCTACTGTACTTCGAAATTGGGCCCAAATAATAAGCGCTAAAGTCGTCAGAATAGTTATGGGTTTCGCCGCGCAATTAGCCCCGCGCACCCTCGGACGCACGACATGACCGTCCCCCGTAGCATGCCTCTCGAAGGGGGGACAGTACATTCATGCGATTCGAGCTGCGCGCGGCGAAATTCGTGCTGTTTTAAACGGCTCTGGCGATTATTATTCGGGCACAAACTTGAAGTAGAGTACTTTAGTAGAGTTGGACAATCCTACTAACCTACTTTACTTCAAATTTGGGCCCCAATGATAGCCTTCAGCGTCGTTTAAACCAACACGAATTTCGCCGCGCAATTTGCCGCGCGCAGCCCGAATCGCACGAATGTACACACACCCCTCTCGAAGAGTTGTTTTTTGTATTGCATTAGTCGCAACTGCGGAAGGTTTCGGGTTTAAAGTACAGGGCTGAGGCTGGGTGCATTACCGATACGGAGCCGGCCAGTGCCGTCTTATTGACCGAGCGCGAAGCCCAGATGGCTCATGCTGCAGGCCGTCCTAACGAACGGTATTAAGGAAGGATCTGGAGAAGAATCTGTACCGGAGTGCGTCTGGATCTAGCCGTCTGGTTCTCCTTCGTAACCGTCTTATCTCCCGGCACGTGGAACATCCGATTCGATCGATCATGAATCTAGGTCACGGAGTAATTGTAACGCGTGACACAGCTCACTACCATCTCGCGATGGACGTCCGAACCGTGTAAGGGGTTGTGGGTTGAATGATTCTCCCGCGACATCCGAACACATCGTTGCTGCAATGGTTCTGCTCATTTCTAGTAGCGAGTTTTCTTAAGTTCGCTGCTAGAAACTACTGCCTCATTTTCTAATTCATTTGTTTTCCACGTGTAGAGAAAACTCATTACGCCCTTCTCCACTTCAAATTTGCTTCTTCTACAAGCAGATCTCATTTATTTCTCAATGGTGTGCTCTAAGTTGTATTCAGATAACAATAAAGTAATTGAAACTGAAGCACGCGCGCACCTTCCACGGCGAATCGCGCCTCATAGGACGATAGAATCAAAGCGCAGCGTCTTTTTCATAGCCATCTCATCTTCAAGGGAAAACAGCGCATAGGGAAGAGTTCGCTAACCCTTCTTGCCTGGTACAACGGTACACAGCGAACACTACAGCCTGTTAGTGTAAAGTGATTCATTATTGCTGCAGATTTTCAAATAATGTCGACGATAACATTGTTCGCTCACGCATAAGAGAATTAACGTATAGCGAAAAATGCTAGGATTTCCTGCAACATCCACAATATATACATACCAGGCGGCTACGCACGCCATTGCGTGCGCTAGGGGCACTAGCCATGAGGGACAGAGCCACATGAGCTTCTGTTTCTCATTATAGGCCTTTATCATCTGAGCCTCTTCCTTGGCACTTCTGTAGCGGCCATCATTTTTTTTTGGTTTGTGAAATGGGGCTGTGTGTGGCCACGAAGAGTACTCCGATTTATCCAAATCCAATACCTCTGCAGTCCATGTACTCGAAGAAACCCTGTGTAAGTTGGGCCGTGTGTGGCCATGAACACCAACTTTGAAAGGAAAGCCCCCTTGGGTAGTTGTAGCGATTCACACGTCTCTACATGGTATGCACCTGTGTGGCCGAGGTCACTGTAGAATCTATTTTATGAGGTCTAAAGTTAATGTAGTGCATTTACTCTTGTGCAGAAGGGACTACTGTGTGTGGAACCATGGATACTAACTTTTAGAAAATTTTTAGCCTAATTTTTGAAAGAGTTTTGTGGTATCCCCTAGTTGTACACCTATGTGGTCAGGGTTAGTGTGAAGGACAGATGTCTAAATTTTTGATCTAAGCTCGGCCCCCCTCTTTGCAAACCCCACCCACTTCAGACTTCGAACCACATTACTTTTATTACCTCCAGACACCTTTTTCCCGCGTTCTAAAACGCATCTGAAGAGACTTGATAATTTTTATGTAAGCCCGCTTTGGTGCCAATCCCGCCCACTCGTAAAATCTGACCACATTTGTTTTACTACCTCCTAATACTTTTTCCCCGCATCCCACAACGACTCTAGATAGAGTTATAAATTTTTGATCTAAGCTCCGCCCGTTTTAATACAAACCCCGCCCACTTCTGGGGCTTGACAACATTTGTCCTTTTACACCTTAACACTTTTTTGCCGCATCCCAGAACGTTTCTGAGCAGAGTTATAAATTTTTGATCTAAGCTCCGCCCACTTTGGTGCCAACCCCGCCCACTTGTGGGATCTGACCACATTTGTTCCATTACCTCCAACCACATTTTCCTGCGCTCTAGAACGTTTCCAAGCAAAGTTGCATTGATTTTTGAAAAGTGGCTTTCGTCTCAACGCACGCCCCGCCCATCGTGGGCGGGGCTTCGCTAAGCTTACGCATGCGTAGCACGCATAAGGTCCTGCTCACTCTTTTTATCTTTTTTCCTGGTCTCTGCGCCTTAATTGAATCGAGTTATGAATACATCTGAAAAGTAGCGCTCATTTTGAGAAGGCTCCGCCCACAGCACGTGGGTCTCCTCCGTCTGGTTTGTTGACCCAATCCTCACCTTTGAACACTTTGAACATTTTTCCCCGGTGTCTGGACTTTTTCGAAGCAAAAATAGGATGTTTGACTGCTGGCACCGCCCATTCCGGCACTTGCCCCGCCCCCGGTGGGCGGAGCTCCGCAGAGCTCGTATGTGCTCTATTAATTTCGTCTTGGGCTCCACCCATCTCGAACTTGTCCCAACCTCTAAAGCTGTTTTTTCAGGTAAAACCTTATTGTGGGACAGACAGACAAACATACATACATACATACATACATACATACATATACACACACACACACTCTCTCTCTCTCAAATGTTGCCTCCTTTTGGAAAAAAATCCAATTCTTAACTCTCTTCAAAGAACGTTAAAATTCTTCTGCCCTTCAGGGTTTTAGGTGGAACACTTTATTATGGTTATGGCCTAGCGTATCGACGTAGTCGTAGAGGCTTGAACGCAATTCGAAATGGTTTGCTTACAATATCCGATGGCGTTTGTTCTCTCTAGTTGCAGAAAAAAAACGACCGAAATTCATTGCATACGCGCTCCATGAAATACTCACTAGTCTCCACTGTCAAAGCGGCAACATCCGCTGTCGCCACTGGCGACTGTCGGTAACGAATGAGACTTCTTGCCATCTCCCTTATTCCGATAAGGGAGATCACATTACGTCGCTACTGACCATCAGCTGACAGAGCGGTAAGTATGGCAAGAGGTCAGTGGTTATGGACGAACATTTATCTCTGTTGTTCGTCTTGGGATTCCTTCGCAGATCCCAGAGCGCCTCTCATGCCTTTCTTGCTGTAATTCACGTGTTTTTATTTTTCTCTATTCAGAAGCGTTTTATAACGTGGAAAATAAGTGGTTATTGGTTATGTAAGCTGTAGAAGGAATATGGTCAGATCCCTCAAGTGGGCGAGGCTTGCACTAAGGTGGGCGGGGCTAAGCGCGACAATTTATGCTTCTGTTCAGAAATGCTCTCGAACGCGGGAACAACGTGGTCTGAGGCTATATAAATGATGTGTGAAGGCGTACATAACCTTATCTTAATCACGCGCCCCTCCTCTGTCGTACATAACCATCATGTTTGCGAGAATGATGAAGAATGATGAGAGTGTGGAACCTCAATGAATCAAGTTTTTGAAGGGGAAAATCTTTATTCATCATCTCTGCTTGAACAGTGTTATTACGATGTTGACGATAGTTCAATTTTCTCTTTCCCTTATGCATTGCATGCATCGAAACGTCTCAATATTCGACTGTCCGCACCTTCTCAAATATGCATTATCTTACATGGAATTCTGAAGATTGAAAGACATTCCCTTCTACTTACTTACCTGCTTTTCTCCCATTACCCGTACTGGCCGGATTTCAGTAAGCTCAGAGTTTTATTCTAATGGAGTGGCACTTGGTGATTGAACCGACTAAAGAATTGTGTCTACTGATGAGGTTTGAGGTAATCGAGGGGGAATTGTGGGAGGTTGTTTCGGTGCAGAAGCAGCCTAGAGCGAGGGGCAGTCTGCAGTAGGGGCTGGAACTGTGTTGAATCTGAGGGGTAACCCAGCTTTCGGAAACAGTAGAACACGTTCCTGGGATACATAATAAGGTTCTGAGCAGGGTTTCTTTCCAGCAAGGTTTAATAGCTGCATATAAACATCAAACAAACACCCACTCATTAGGTTAATTGGTTGTTAACGACATCTCATAAGGGTGCTAATTCAGCCTGAAGTACTGGAATGCTTCATAGAGAGTATGGGGTGGCCTAACCGGAATTAACATCGCTTCTGT